TTCATATGCGGGGCTGGAAGGGGCTGGGTGGGGCCAGGGCCCCGCCTGCCAGCACATGGCTCCTTCAAAGGCGGGGCTGGAAGGGGCTGGGTGGGGCCAGAGCCCCCTCTGCATTGAAGCATTTTTATGCGTATTTGCATCGAAAGATATGTTTCAAAAGCACCACTTATTGTACCTTCTTTGGAATTAAAAGGAGCTAATTTATCAAAATTGGCTTATAAATCATGGAGAAAGCATCCGTTTACGCCCACTGAATGTAGCTGCGGATGAGCACAATATATTGAGGTTTTGTTTAAGTCCCTCATTGCGTAAACTCTTATTTGTCCACAGGTTTACAATCCGTGTGTGTTATTAATTCGTATATTTGACAATCGGGACGATATTTTAAAGTGGTGCCAAAAGTGGGCGGGGATGTGGCCTCCCCTGCGCATTTTTTTTCGCTGGCGGGGCCAGGCGGGGCTATCGCGTTGCATGCCCCGCCACAGCCCCCTCCACAGCCCCGCCTAGCCCCCTCATGGCCCCCTCTAGCCCCGCCATTATTGAGGGGGCCAGGCGGGGCTAGGCGGGGCTGGTGCTGGCAGGGTGGTTACCCGCTTTTCATGTTGATCTAAATCCATCAATGATTAAGTCTTTAGATATCGACCTCCAATAATTGCCTGATTCGGCTTATAATGGAAATCAAACTAATGTCTTATTTAACTGTAAGAGATTGTATAAAATTCTCGTCCCGAGTCGGATTCGAACCCGTGCGCTCAGGTAGCGGGGTCAGAGAAGACTTATATACAGCGGATAAGGCGCCTTCCGTTTTCAAATGACCGTAAATTTGGGTTTTCCGCCACCAGATCGCCTCTTGTTAGGTGGGTAAAAAACTTGGCAACATTTAAGGATGTTCCCTATGAGCATGGAACTTGTGTAGGGTGCTGGTTACATCTTCAGACATTTTCAGTGATAAAGGAGGAAGATGGCTAACAAGTGAAATGGAAAACACGAAGGGTTTGTTTGTTGTGCACCTGGAGAGAGAGAGAGCATAAGTGGTGCCAGGAATCCTGAAGGAGGAGAACACATATGAGGGTATGGTTTCATCAAGTGTTGCCAGCATAAAGGTGAAGGACATTGCGTTCTCCGAGTTCAACACAGCAGGGAACCATTCGCCCGTTTGAGGAGAGGGAATGAATAGCTCATGTGCATTGTCCTTGTCCTGGAGTTTCGGTAAAATCGTTATAGGTATCACCGGACAAACAACTACTTTAGCTTTGCTGGATTCTGCACTAAATAGTGGTGGAAAAATCACACCGCATCTGCGGAGTTGGAAGTGAAACACAAACAGCGTTGAAAAAATCCCAGAAATGAGACCTAACTAGCAGAGAGGTCCCCTCTTCTCAGTCTTCATTCGGAAGGAATACGATGCCGGCAATACAAAGTTTGTTGAAAGCCAGACTGCCAAGGTCCATAAAACGGGTTTGCGTTAACTCTAGCTGGAAATGCCTGCCAAATGGTGGGAAGTGATCGGGTATCTTGCCCCACTGAGAAAACGGGAGGCAAGGGCTTCTGTGATGGGGGGTTCCGTGAGTGGGGTAGACGAAAGTGGAAGATAGTCGTCTCATGGAAGCAAAAAGTGAAAAGCTTACGGGGGGAATCTGAAACCGAGGGCATTGGCTATAAATTTCAGGCGAACTTATCTCAACCCCTGATGACCAATCACATTGAGGAAGAAGGTATGTAGAACGTATCGTTAAACTCAACTCTCGAAATGGCCACAAATGAAGTTAAATTTAATTTGGCAACATTGGTAGCCTAACTCATTAACCTATGTTTAAAGATTAGCCCTAGTTGTAACTCCTAAGTCTAACTCTAGCTTTAACCTGTAGCTCTAACCTCGACCTCTACCGCTGATCTAACGCACATCCCTAGGCCTAAGGTGAACGCAACCCCTAATGGCAAAGTTTGAGGGAGTTGTGACGCGGAGTGAGATAGATGCGCAAGTTTAGATTAAGCCTACCCAAATGGTAAAAGTATTTAATGAGAATAAAGACTAGATGGACGCGCACACTCGATCGTCATCATCTGAGACTCCGGAAATCTCAGATTATGATTAAATAACATCCAGCCACCGAAACTATGGCTAACTTTAAGTTTCCACACACAGGACCGGGCCTGCCAAACAAAGTAAATGCAGTGACTATAATCTCCTATGCAAACTCAGAAGGTAGTGTGCTCGAACCCAAACAGTTGTCAAAGTCTATCATCGCAAGTGCATTTACTGAACTAAGACACGGAATATCCCGTGAAACAGAGAAAAATACCGCTCTAAGCAGTGGGATTTGCACGAGCAGGTGTACCCCCAAGAACACCACATCTAAAGAAAACAAAGTGGTCTCCGCTATGGGGACGGACAGCCCTAACACAACTGCAAGAGAAAACTTATAAGTGTGATGAAATACGGGCCTGTGTCATAATCAACCCCTATCAACCCTACGTTGAGTATCTTGAAACCCGAAATCCCATCGATTAGCAGACTCGCCGGAGAAAGAAGAACAGGGAGATAAGGAGATAAAACACTGACGAGCCGAACCCCTCGCAGCTGCGCCATGCAATGGCAGAATATCGGCAAAACACGAGTGTATGGGCTTTTGGCTAGTATCTGTGCTGCTAGTATGGTATCACCTTACCCCAAAGTATAATACTAACTGCCTGTCGGCAGTTAATGAATATTTACGGTTACCTGCTTTGGCCGATGGACTTTGGCCCAAAAATTCATGCAGAAATTCTCTGTCTGAGTCTATAGATATTGAATAAACTGATCTACTCTAAGTTCGTAGATAATTGCTGAGGAAATTGAAGAGTGACAAGATAAAGCATTGCCCGATAACTCAGGAACTACTCAAGTCAGCTGGTAGCACGCCCACAGTGCCAGTTTCAGCAGACCTAGCGGTTGTCCGGATGTTGCCAACCTTGAAGTCTTTCTCTCAGACGAAAGTCACAAAGACAGAGAAAATGAGACGCCTAGAGTTAATTCTGGAGTTGAAACCGGGGCTCCGAAATGGGGAGTGGGGTTCGGTATTTTACAACCCTCAGGTAGAGCACCGCTCCCCAATATTCCCCTGGGCGGAACCGACTCGAAGGAAGGCACAGCTAGTTCGGTATATGAAGGCTTAAGCCACACAAAACCGAGCCTTCTATAAAGATTTTAAGTCGCAAGATCTTATTTCGTAGCCGTACCTGTTGGTGGTGAAGCATAGGAGTAAGGGGTTAGGCTTAGGGGATGGAGTTAGGGGCTAGGCTTAGGGGTAGGGCTAGGGTTAAACTCCCTAGTACTACTGGCCCCTTATGACAGGCGGCTGGGGCTTGTCTACTGCAGGTACGGCTACGAAATAAGATCAGACCTTAGCATGTTTTCAAAGTTTGGTTAACATCTGCGGTCTCTCCCAGACGTCACGTCGCTGACAGAAACCTGGTTGTCTCAAAACGGGGATTACATGAATTGCTACCTCCCGCATGTCATTGACTCACAAGGGATAGAAAAGAGCGCCAGGGAGGAGTATGCACATGCGTGTGCAAAACACAGACTACTTGTATCAGGAAAGGCTCGCACGCAACACTGAGGCTAGCCGGCTCACTATAAGAGTACGAGGGTCACAAGTCTTGAGGTCCTGACAGCCTGTCGACCGTCATGAGGAGATTGCGAAGCTGATGCTCGTCTGCTAAAAAAGTTAGGAAGGCTAGCTACTCGGCCTGACGCCTGGGTGACTTTAATGCATCACTTATTAACTAGAATCCAGTATATGCACCTGACCCATAACTAGCCTTTGGCCGACGTCCATTGGGCACGACGCCCAGGTTATTTCTCCCTCCAAAAAGGGTGCATGAAGGACAAGCAAACTGTCTGGATCCGGTGCTCCCGGAATCGCTAGACAGCATTGATGAGATGAAAGGTCTAACTCTCCTAGGTTCCAGCGAGCAGATGGAAATGATCTAGAAGTATTCACTCTTCCTGCTGCCTGAAAACCACGTCATTTATAGATTTTTGGTTTCTATCAAATAAACGCTGAAATGGACGGTATTGACTGGGAAGCAGTTTATACCGATGACATAGTGGAAGAATTGGGACACTCCAATGAAGTATTGCACAGTCTTCTCAGAAAATGCTATCCGATTTCACGGAAGAGGTTGACGCAGACTTTAAATGAGAAGGAAACAAGAAGCGTAGGCCGTGTCAGTAAATCCAGGCAGTGCAGATGAACCTGCCCAAGCGACTTAACCTCAGAACACGGCGTGACTTCGGAACAGACGTCCCGAACCGCAGCGTGAAAAATGCAAACTTATTCGACAACTACATGAGACGGACCGTGAGAGGAGTCGCATGCCTCCATGATGAAGACCAGCGAAAGAACATAAATTAGTGGGAATAGTAGAAAAGCAAAGCACGTCTCGCAGTTTCTCAAGTCCGTATTTACGAGAGAAACCCTATTTAATTCCCTTGACTTCAACTTGGCTGAAGGTCAAACGACTGCGACTGTATGTTTCATCGAAACGTCTGTTTGCAGAGAACTGCTGGCACGGGCGGAGTTTAAATCGCCAGATCCAGATGGCCCATCACTGTGACTCGGAAGGGGCTTGCCACCGAACTGGTCAGACGGCTCTCTACGCTTTTCCAAGTCTGGCTGGTTGCTTGTTTGTCGACTGGAAGTCTGGACGGATCACACCGCTGTAATGAAGACGGCAGCAAGGTCTCTGCAAACAGTTAAAGACCAATCAACCTCACTCGGATCTGCTGAAGAGGCATGAACACAGTTAAATGGGAGCTAATACGTTCCCCAGAGCAAGAAAATCTACTCTCTGACGCCCACAATGGATTCGCAGAAGAAGGCCCACTGCTAGTGCCTAAATACCCAATCACAATCTATGCCGATGCGCCTCGCCGCGTGAAGGTCGAAAAAAATCGATAGTAACCCGGCCAAATTAGGTCTCTGCATCATTCCATCGGATAGGCGTGCATAGGCATGGACAGGGCCAAGCTAATTGAGCCGCTTGTACGACCGCCAAAAATGGACTCTGAAATGTCTGTGAGTGAGATGCAGCGCGTGTCAAGTGTCATGGACGCCAGCGGAGAAACGCACCGCCTTCTCTCCTACATGCCCGCGCGACTGCAGGAATTAGGATGGTGCGACCGAGTGCGTGAGGAATGCCGCTATTGGTTGAGGAAGAACAGTGCCAGTGGACAACCAGTGGTTGCAGGCGCAAAGCCAGCAAGCATCCGGGATCCCGTAGACATACCGACAGCCGAGATTGTCACGGCCTTGGAGGATATCGCTAAGACCTGGGTGCCTGAACAATTGTGCAACGAGATCGTGCAACAGATAATGAAGGTGATAGAAGAAAAGCTAATGGATTAAAATCTCATTGGGACTGGGGAGGCATTCGAGAACATAGATCTGTCCTATCCGGAGTTGTGAAGACTTTTGATGTACGCTCTATGACGTAATATTTCCGACGACTAGCATCGCAGGGGACCGAGTACGTGCAGTTCCATTAATTCCAAACCATCGTAGTTAAAAAGAGGACAATGACACGCCCTCAGACGTAGGTATCAAAGACCACCCAACCAATTTAAGGCAATTAATAAATTAGGCGTATGAGCATGAGGACTCGAAGCCTGACTTTCTCTCACTGAAGTCCTTCACACACAGAGGACAAGTCTTCGTCGGTTAACATGACTACCGCAGACAACCTGGAGGAACCGGGGCGCACCGTGTGTTGTTATTCCAACCACTAGCGGGAAAAGCGAACAGCGGTCAAGGGGATGCAGTCGACGAGGTAATCACGCCCATTCCTGTAGTGTTGTCCTTCGCAAGCTCGGCAACTTTTATCGTTGGATGGGGTGACAGGACTCCTCAGCCCTCTGAGTTAATATCATACGGGGTAGCCTGCCTGCTTTTTTTCTACGTCACCAGTAGTAACTAAACGGCTTTCGTCCGAAGTCTTAACAGGATATCCACAATATCCTTGTTGGCTTGTGTATGGAAAACGACAATCTTGCACAGATTCTCGAAAACAGGCTGAACAAGCCATCAACGATCACTGTCCGAGGCACTTTACAGTGACGAACACTAACAAATTCTATACCGCCAAGTCGAGTAAAAAAACGTAACTGGATTGGTTTACATCTGCGGACTCACTAGCCATAGGAGGCGCGCTACGCGTTAAAACATCAGTCCCACACCTCAACTTACCTAGATTACTCTCTGACTTTAGGAATCGGTTCCACACTTTTTTACCTCTGTGCATTATAAATCACGCCAGCATGGGTAGTGTAGGGTCAACTACTTTAATATGGTCTCCCCGTAAAAGCCTACTTAAACAACAACAGTAAGTCAATTTTATTGCATAGTAAATTGGCAACAACAAGGTCCTGCATGGCAAACGGTGCAGAAGGTGCACAGGCGCGGTATTTTGAAATAATCCTAAAGATACTCTTTTTGGCAATCAGGTTTTCGATCTGAACCGGTCCAGAAAACTGCGATAGGCTACTTTCGCCTCCGCGTTGGTTGGAATAAGATGACCACCGGGGTGGACTAGCGTGGTGTGCGGCGGTTCATACACGTCCAGCAGATCTTTGGTCATGTCTGAAAATTGAAAAGATTTCAGTTCAGTGTGGGTTTTGGGTGGTCAGGGGTAAAACGAGCCGTTGGTTTTGAAAATATATTCCAAGAAAACTACAAAGTGCTCGACAGTTGCTCTAGAACATCTTCGTTAGCTCTCTGACTGAAAACACAGTATCTGGCCTATGTAATGTTAACGGAAATTATCAAACGTGTTTGCTTTCAGAAAGGATTACCTAGATTGGGTTGTAGCACTAAATAACTTGCAACACAGTCCCGAAATATTCCAGTCACGTAAGAATTCTGGTTTTGTAATGAGTTCTTTTTTGGCAACCTGAGAAAACTGGAATGGGTAGAGATAACAACTTAAGTAGTATGATTTTTCCAAATGATTTTCGATGACCTTGTAAGTTCCCACGTATTTAAAGGAAAATATTCTTAAACCCATTTGGTCCACATCATGCTCAGCGTTAAGCAGAGCGACTACAGGGCATAAGAGAATCCAACCAGAGCTACTGCTGAAGGTAAACCTTCGCATGAGAACCTACAGCGTGTCAGTTAATCGAGGCAGACCGCTTCCCCAGCCCTGGTGGTGTGGCCGCGGTCCACAAGGCAGACAACTTCTGGAGCCAAATGATCTGATCGCATTCCTAGACGATGAACGACATTCAGCTGCAATCGAGGGCTGGAAGGGCTTCCAAAAATTTGGTGCGCTACAGTCCCATTAGTCTGTGTACGGGTTGGCAGCAAAACCCCCCTGACGGAGAGCCACCTACTTACGCACGAACAAGTCGTATTCATACCAAGGTGTTGCGTCAAGGATCAGCTTTCTGGTATGGCAGTTTATCTCTGACAACTAACAAAAGAAGGCTGTGTGACTTACAGCAAGTCACCGATCTCATGAGGTGTTGACTGAAATTCTGATATGCTTTTTGATTAGAAAGCATTACTCAAGGGGGGTTGTAGTATTGGTTATCTTGCGACGATGTTAGCTTTTGAATGCACTTGTTTTCAGCCGCCACAAAGAAACTGCGCTGCTGCACCCTGGTGTGTAGCACACGGTGGACATCGTCGAAATCGATGATCGAACTGTCTAGGGTTTTGAGTTCATATGCTATCTACGTTCCGTGTAAATAAAATAATGCACCCCTCTGTGCCATTAGGAAGACACCGTATAGGGCTTGTAAAAATTTGCAGTGGGGATATACTATGTTGCATACTTCATGCGGGGCATCAATAAACGGGCAGGTATGGCTCTAGTTGAATGGAAATTGCCAGGTCTTAAAAATCTCAGAATTAGAAAGCTACTGTAAAAATAAAAAACACCTTTCCTCCGAGTATAAAGTCTGAAGGAGACGTGAGCTGCTACGGAACGAGTACAATAATGAATACTTTTGCGCATGTTTTCTATAAAATGCATTCGAATTGTTAAGGACATCTAGATGCAATAGAAGAAAACATACAACCCATGTAGTCCCTTTTCATTGAGCACAATTATTTTCCTACGCTTAAAGAGAAGCGTATTCAGAAGTTAACGTCGTGGTGTGTTTAAAATATCATAGAGTTAGGTCGCAAGATAATATTACAAATCCTTCCTGATCGAAAACGCATTTTAGAATTTCCGTTAGCATTTCATGAGATCGGTAACTGAGTGTCCGCTTCTGCACTGGCCGGTGAGACATTTTGTGAAAGATTGCCGAAAAGGTGGTCCCTCACGTTTCGTTCGCTGAACCCCGCTCACCAACCATGGGACACAACAGAGGCGGTCTTCAGGCAAGATTTTCCACGAGGTCTTGATTTTGCTGCCAGGCTCCTGGCCGACGTTGTGGTAATCTGGGCGTAGGCCCAAAAGACAGCATGGGTGGCAGTTGCAGTGTGAAGTAAGGTACGGCAGTTAAGCTTTTTAAACCGTAAAATGCGAGACCAGCTCCGAATTTCTACGACGACGACGAAGAAGCAGAAGATCCAAACTACGTCCGTAAACTGCGCAACTCCTCGCAGCTCGGCTAGTTTTAGTGTTTCTTAGCCTGAATACACGAAACAACGATGAACAAACCGGTGGCCTCTCAGCGATAAACTGCGCATGCGACTGACTATGATAATGCTGAGGGGCTATCGAGGAAACAGATAACATTTCCACCGTGGTCTGAGCAAATTAACTGGATTTCATCACCTTGACGATGCCAGCACTCCTAAAAGGATCTAACACTCTACTTATAGTCGGGTTGAACAAGAATGGCAGACTTGCGCAAAAGAACGGAAGCCTTATGAGCACAAATCTTTGGCGACCCTACAGAAGGTGGGCTAACTCATGAAATGTCAACCGAAATTCTGAAATGCATCTTCGTTTCGAAGAGATTAATTAAGTAGAGTTGGAGAATTAATCATCAAGCAGTATAATTCTGTAATAATTCAGTTACCCCAGGATGCCAGCCTTCGAATGAACTTCTTTCCGGCTGTATGCAAAAGCTATACTCTGTAAAAAATGAGTACTCATGTAGCATGCATTTCTCTCATTGATTTTGGATGCCCTTAAAAATTAAATTATATTTCATGGAAAATATGCATAACAATATTCATTCCTTTATTCATTCTGTTGAAAATTACGTCTCCTTCCAATTTTATACTCTAAGAAAGGGTATAATTCGGTTTTCAAAAACTTTTTCCAATTCCAGAATAATTTTGAACCCGACCTGCCGTTACACTCGCATTCAGGGTTTCCAAACTACAAACCATATATTTTCCCCGTACGGAAAACCATACGTTTCTCTACGGTATTTAGTGGACACCATATGGGGTTCATAAAATTCAGCAGTGGATTTAAGCCATGTTGTTAACTTTACGAGCCACACTGGTAAAGGCAGATATATGACGTTTTATGAACGGCCCTTTCACGGTATTAGAGAATCTCGCAATTAGAAACTTTTTAAAACCGAATTATACCCTTCCTTCGATAATAAAATTAGAAAAAATGTAATTTTCTACCGAATGAGCAAGAGAGTCAATACTGTTATGCCTGTTTTCCATGAAATATGATTGAATTTTTGAGGGTATGGAAAATCAATGAGAAAATGCGTGCTACTTCAGTAGCCATTTTTTACAGAGTATAGCTTTTGCATACTGTCGGAAAGAAGTTCGTTCGAAAGCCGGCATCCTGAGGTAACTGAATTATTATAGAATCATGTTGTTTGATGATTATTTCTCCAACTCTACTCAATTAATCTTTTCAAAACGAAAAAACATTTCAGAATATCGGTTGACATTTCATGAGTTAGCCCACATACTGTACATATGAAGCTCCTTCCACAACTCTTCTCCAGGTGGGTGAAGGTGGGCATCCCTCCGCCACTGCCAATAAGTATGCTGAGACCGGACGATATTTGCAGATTAATTTGACAAGGCGGAACGCCGAGATGGGGGGCGCTGGTGTTCTCATCGTTATCGGGTAACTGACTAGCCAATTTCGTGGAAACACTCATCCTTTAACCAAGCCGGTATATGGACAACGAAAATCACACTTTATGCAGAGAACCCACAGACTAATGGCACACATATTTACATGTAGCAAACAGTCCCAAAAGATCTGCGCCCAGGAGTCTACGCCGAGTGTCCGGATTAGCTGAAACGGCGAGGAAGGGAGACGTTTTGACAAATACTTGATACACAAGTCACTGTGGTGTAAATGCAGTTAGGGAAACAGCCCCTCCACCTAACACCGGCAAGTCGAAAGCTTCGGGCCGGGAATGTGGCTTTGGTGCAGGGGTTTGGGAGCACGTACTCATTGAATGTTCCCGCCTCCGTCGCATTCCGGACGCGAGTTGAGATGCACGAAATGCAATCCCAGAGCACAAAAAGATGCTGATTACCAGAGCCGGAGGCCAGTGATATCGTTGAGACGGCTAACGTTTTCCACACTAACGAAAAAACAGCTGCCCGTATATATAATAGAACAGATTATTGACCGCTAGGCAATCATCAGTCCGACCCCAACCCTGTAGGCCATCCTCATGGCCGGTTTCTCAGTTCCTGGGACTTCCAACGACGTGCAGACAACACCGGACAGCCGGCGCTTATGACGCCTGAGGCTGCAAAGTTCACTAGTGTTCAATTTAGCAGTCATGGAAACTCAGTCCACGTACGTTTTAAGACTATCGCTGCGCGGTCTACCACAACACAACGGTCCCATCTACTCGAAGTCAACCTGAACTCCAGTAAATAGCTGAGACATTTTTGGATCAGACAGCAACCAAATTGCCACGAGGGTTTTAGAATGCCAGATTCAAATCACTGCCTAACTTCATCTCCAATCGACTAAAGCCATTACGGACGCTCTAGCTGACATCAGGCTGTGAGATCCCGGCATCAACAACGATCGCCTTAAATTAGGGCTGATCAGTCACAGACTTTTAGAAGAACGTAAGCCGTCTGACACGTAAGACCAAAAGACGGAGGTGTGCTAGATTTAGTCTTCCAACGTGTCTCCAGTTAGCCATTTAGATCTTGTCGCCAGCCAAGGCCGGACACTAGCAGAAAGACCAGCTCGCACATTTACCACCCGACCCACTGACAGAAGTCCGAAACATCGTTGTGGCAAGGATCGACAATGATGGTGGGGACACTGGTTCAGATACCGACTCAGAAGATCTAAGCGCACAACTGGTTACATGCTGCCTAACCCCGCCTTTGGGGATGTGTCCAATCTGCCAGGCGTCACGGTACAGTGTTCAGACTCTGAGGCACTTTTGAGAGTCGAATGACGAGAACTCAGACTTTCAGCATCCTTCTAACATCATTTTTGCTGGTCCGCGACTGCTTGTGTTAGACGCAGTTTAGTTTGCAGTCAACTCCCAACGAAGGCCGTTCCCTTCCCATTATTCATGGACGGGTCGGGTGACAGGCAATGAGACTAACAATCGGGCCGATCTTCCCGCAGTTCCGCTCCTATCATGCAAACGAAGCGAACACAGCAAGTGACCTGGATACCAAAGGGTGCAATAAGTATTCGACTAGTAGACCGCACATGTGGTATGCAGAACACACATCATTACACCGAAGCCTGCCTAGCGGAGAAATTCCTGGAACTTCTACTTGCTTAGTAAAACAGCATGACGAAGCGCACAGGTTTGTCCACCGTACACTCATTGCCTAGTTCGCAATGAGCTTCACGAGTTGGACCTTGAACAGTGCACTAGGATACTAAGTACAAGTTCATGGAAGGGACTAGGATTGACGAAGGCAAATGAGTCAACAGTGGGCAATGTAGGTTGCAGCGGGGTCGCAGCGATGACTGGAAATCACCGCGGCTTTGGACTAAGCACACATGATCTAATACTGCATCTTCGAGTTGCCTAGCAGCGTTTATAATAAGCTGCGTAGGCGACACATTCATAGTGCATGAAGACTTTGAAATAAAAATGCCATAAAGTATTAGCATAAATAAAGGGGACATGCCAGTCAGTTTTTATCCCGACGACTTATAGGGAAGGCAAATTATACGCTTCCACCCTGTGGTGAAATATGTTGATTGGTTGGTGTCTTGGCAGGTCAGAGGATGACGAAAATGAATTCATCTTCCATGCAGTGAGGTACAATTTGCTCAACACACAAGCAAAAGCCTCGATTACCTGCAGGTATAACTTTGTCATCCAGTCCATAGACGATCAGAGTGGGCATCTGGATAGGAAGCGCGTACAACGGAGTGTGAAGTGAGCACCGACTCTTGAAGGGGGCGACAAGGATGCAGAACTGCACTTTCGGGGCGTCCCATTCTGGTTGTGGGTGAACCGAGGCAACAAGAGGTTGAAAATGTTGAATAGGTGGCTACAAACCAAGAATTCTTTTAAAAATTGAAGGAACTCAGTTAGCTTACGCTCGGGGAACTTTTCCATGAGGATCTGTAACAACGTCACAAAGGCAGCACCTTGGCTAAAGGCAAAAATTCCATCAAACGGGCCCTTCACGTAAGGTCAGTGGTAGTGAACAAAGGCAAACCTGGGAGCGAAGGGCCTCTTTTACTGTGTTGACTGACTTGTCGAAACCGCTGAGATAATCTGTTTGCTCCTGGGCGTCAAAAGTACTGTCCTCGCGGGAGAACCACCAACCGAGTCCTTGTAAGTTGTCTCCAACATCGGGAATCGCTAGGGGAGCGTCTATAAATACTGTTTTTACGAGAAAAATAGATGAAAATTGGATGCTACCGAATTCACAACTGTTCTTGAAGATTTTGCGGAAAGCACCTGATTTTTCCCGAAAGAAGTTTCCCGTTTGCCTAGAGACGTCTTTTAAATTACGAGTGACCGTAACAACAGGCTTAAAGACAGATATCGTGATTTATTAGATAAACCTTGGAACCCCAGTTGTTTTCTAGGAAAAAACTGTGCAAGAGGCACGTCGGCAAAGCCAAAGTAAACGACTTCCCTACATCGACAGGAACTTAAGTTAGATCTGAGCAGAAAATAAACCGACTGCTAGAGAGTAATATATTGCGGTTTGTGTTGTTTAAAGAGTTAAGTGAATAAAACGACCCACCGAAATCTTACACAAGAGGCCATTTGGGGGGGGGGAGAGAGAGACAGACTGCACACGAGCGTGAAGAAAATTTTGGCAAAACTTGACGTTAGTTACTGCGTGGATTGTCCTATACGTACGCCTCGCAAGCCTACTTGGCTGCGAACTCCTAGTACGAAGGGTTTACAAAACGAAGCATTGCGTGCATGACACTCAATATGGACTAGATGACATGGATTTCCCACGTGAGCATGTTGCCATTCTTCACTCGATCAGACAAAGAAATAGACAGAAGTTGGGGTATGAGAGGCTAAGGGAGAAGGCGGCGATCGCGTCACAGCTACAATGGACTTAATTTTAAATTCATCCTTTGGGATAAATTCAGATGTTTCTTTCTGGAGACGGACCGCAGCATTGGTGGCCCAGACTGGTAGTTTTTCCAACTAGACAGACGATCCCTTATAACTAATTTAACTGTTTGTGCAAGTTAAAGTTTACAGGTCGCAGAATGGTCGTCCGCAGAAAATAGTTGAAACATGGCAGGATTGAATAAAACATACCGGTAACCGTGAATACAGAGAATCTAAATGGGCATCGGTTAGAAACAAAAAAGACAGTACTCTTAGAGTCATGGTTAGCCAAAACGTGCGGACGACCCGCCCAGAGCAAAAGAACGCGAATCCAGCGCTGACTCGGCAGTGCGTACAAACGATGATCGGACTCATTTGGACGAGGCAGACTCGTTTGCTGCCGGCAGTTCCATCTGTCCTTCAGAAATAGGCACGATTAAAAAAGAAGTGGAAACCGTTATTAAATAATTATTTTGTAGTCGCGGACTCGTTTACTCAAAGTGGTTTTGTGAATGCAATAATGGACAATTTGTATTTTTCATTATCCTAAAGGGTTATATTCTGTCTGCAGAAAATCCATACCACGATGCTTTTTTCAGTGCGAAAAATGCCACTGCTAGGACTTCGACGTGTTTGTTTTTAGGGTTAAATCGGGACTGTCTGGCCACTGGTGTCTAGGTTTGTTTAATATGCTAATCACAAATGACGTGGATGACTCAGTCATGATTGCACGTTCTGCGTAGATCCGTGGAATGAAACAATTTATTAATAGGCATGATTTTAACGTAATTAATTTTTCTTTAGATGACATTGCCGGACCTTCAGTAGGTAAAGCATTTGAGTGCTGCGAGGTCGTCAAATTCAAGGCCCATTGAGTCTTGGCAAAGTCTCTAACTTAAAATTGATTGGGCGGATCCACAAAACCTATCGTTAAAGTCAAAACTTCGCCCGCAGCCAATCGGACTCAGCAAAAGACCGCAGGTTGATGGTTTTCTAGGTTTGCTTGCGGCTGTAAAAAAGCGACACTACCGGCTTAGGGCAGCCGAGCACCAGTCTAAAATGTTCAAAGTATACGCTAGAGAAGCAACATCATTTTCCCTCATCCTCAACAGCTGGCAAAATATTCTACTATACTTTGTGACCGTCAATTGTTGTCACCTTTGTTCAACCTCAAATTACAAGTAGTCCTGATTTATTAACCCACACTTATTATGTTGCCTCTGCTTCGATCATGGGGCACTTCTAATAAGCATTCTATCCTGCAGGTGAGTGGCCCAACCTCATTCCCTCCTATCGGTCTTGACCCAGGTCTTAGCAGTTCCACATTCCCATGCAATCTTTTATTGTTTGCCGTGCTCTCCATTCGTTATTTTCCATACTCTACATTCACAATGAACCTGCCTTACCCTTAAGTATCTTTTTACGCAACATTTTTTCTTCTAAATAACTCTCCTAAAAACGTGAGTTCCAATAACTCTGATAGAGGAACGCTCACATTTCGCATTGTGGAACTCGCTTGTCCCGTGGTGTCTTGAAGCTCTTGCTCAAGCCGCGTCAACAGCCGCATAGCGGACGTATTACAGGCAGAATTACACTACTGACAAGGACAAGGGAAACTGGAACGACGAGTACTGGCTTATTAGTCGTTGTCCCCCGCATACCCGACCACGAGGTGTATTGAACATGGGGCTCTACAATAGACAAGGGAGATCGAAATGACCATTTCTGGCCTATTAACCTGCGAGGTTCCAATTTAAACCCCAAGGACCAAAGAAACGAGCATGTTCCATAACCTGATCGGCAAAAGCCCACGTACCACATATATACAGACATGTGCGTGTGTGTGCTTTAATATCGAAAAAGACAAGAACTCGAGGGAATTTATGGTTAGCCTAGTTGCCGTCGCCAGCCAGTTATGTCCCAGCGTCGGCTTTGGGAGGCCTGAGATTTGCATTGGCGTACAGTTTGACATTAAATATTAAGGGTAAACTCCCTCCCACAAGAGCTATGCTTCCATGCCCAGTCGGGTACAATGAAATTTTGGACGTCGGGTGGAAGTGGCGTTCCAATATTGAAGTTACAAGTACCAACAATTCCAAGACACGACGGAGAAATAAGCTAGAATGTGACTAAACCCCTTTTCCTGGTCTATGGAAAATCACATCGGCATCATTGATTTCTCATCACTACACGACCGCCTGAAAGGTTTAAAGATCAGAGTTCAAAACGGGACGAGACTGCTGAAACACCGCTTCCGCATAACGTTAACCAAGAATAGTTTTGTAGCAGCTTTACAGATATTGTCCAGGCCTTCTCAAAAAACGCCCAGGAAATAAAAGGTCGAATGTATTATTGACCAATGCCACTTAAACGAACCTTTCACCACAAATCCACTTATATATATACCTGATGGCAACTGTCAGAACAGCAGATCCGTGGCTGAATGGTTAGGACGTTGGACATCTAACCATAAGGTCGCGGGATCAAGTACCAGGTGTTGCACACCTCGGGCCGTGTATGGCTGGCTGGCGACGACTAGTAAGACGGAAATGGCCATCCCAGTTTCCCTTGCCTTTGTTAATAATGTCATTTTGCCCATTAACTCTCCCTTCAGCGTTTATGTAGGATTTCTTCGCTTCTTCGTGCAGACATCACCTTTATTTTACTTAAAGAGGCTTCATGAAGAATTTTTGCATATTAATGACGTGGGTATTACGTAAGAACATATAAGATATATAAGACACGCGGCAGTAACTAATTTTTCTACTCTCTATGGCTCCCCGCCGTTTGTCCTTCACCTTCTGTTTTGACGGTTTAACCAACGCGTGAGATTTCAATAGGTGAGTTGGTCTATCCCAACCCCCTAAAAACAAACAACTGGAAATAGTATGCCTGTGCCATTGTCTCTACAGCTTGATCTGGACAATATGCCTACCCATACTATCTGTTCAGCAAAAAATCTGCAATATTATTAATTAGTAAGGCCAAAAATAAAAGATGGGCAACCTCTTAAACTAGGCAATGACTCCTGCATCCTGCTTTAGTCCGGTTCATAAAAAGAAAAAAACGTGTTAGTAGGATGTTAACTGCCCTCTGGAGGATTTTTTTATCTTAAGTCTCGGACTCCCAGTTTTGGACCGGAACTGAACAACTTCACACACATTTATGTAGACCTGTATGACTCTAAGAATAAGTTATCGGGACAGTGGAGAACGCACCCAGAGCTGAATTGCATGGAGCAGGTATCACGGAAACGTAAGCCTTTGAACCTAATCAAAACCGGGGGGATTCCGATTGACGGTTTCTCGTTTATATGTTAAATTTATGATCAAGTATACTGGACTTGACCTTCCTAAACTGTTATTTCTTTTGAGGATGTAGGTTTTTAAGCCCAGCCCAAAAACGGTACGCGACGTTTCCCACCCCTTTTGTAATATGTACTCATCAGAACTTGATGGTTACAGGCGTTCTTAATTGCATTACGACCACAGCCCGGAAGCCGTAGCCGTGGGAGATTCTGATATGGCGTCACCTGACAGGCAGACTGATTCAGCGATATATAACCTAAAAGCATTCTACTTTAAACTGCCTTCGTCCGCACAAAAAGAACACTCTTAACCAAACTTCATGTATTTCATGCTAGGTTCCATGAACACCAAAAATCGTCGAATCTGAATCTAGATCTTCGCGTCAAACGACACAAATACGTTCATTGGGACACTGGGCCCCTTCTTAAAGACTGCCATGTCATGACGGTATAGTGGATAGTCAATGTTGTCTGTGTGGAGGCCGACGGAAAAGTGTCTCAGAGCCTGCTTAATAATTCGCACAAACATCTTCTGTTTGCGATCAAATGCGTATGTCTGGCTTCAACCAGGGAACACATCTTCAGATGGGAGTATATAAATTACACCAGCTGGGGCTCCTTAACACCTTAGAGCGGTTAACGTACCTAATGTTATAAGAAAGCTCTCCTCAACAGTTCTGAGTTGCTAATGACTTTCTGCCACCCTATCAGCGGCAATAATGTCGTCTGTGAAATCACTGAGATTGTTATTGAATGTGTTGGCCCACTCCTAGAAGAATACACACTTGTGACCCCTAGTCAGGAAAGGTTCCTCAAAGAGCGGTTCTGCCTAAAAAACCTAACTGCAATGGAGACCCTTTGCAGGAGAGTAAGTCGGCGCGTCGGTATAGGACTTGTCATGCTCGATCTAGGCAAGGTTTAGATCCGAACGTAAACTACTCTTAGTCGCTGATGTATCGCACGGACGGCACGACCACTACCTAGGGATCGGAACACGCCTGCCTCACAGACATGTGTGACGCTGCACTAGACAGCCTCCTTGGGGCCAACTTACTAGAAGGCCTCTCAGCGTCTATCGTGTGCTGTGTGTATTTGAACTCCATATCACATGTCCTCCCTTTAATTTCCTCAGAAATTTTGGCTTAACCTAGGAACATGTATCTTGGAATTAAGCTTTTTATGCTCGCCCCGAAAGTTGTTATGAAGATTTGGGCTGAAGTCAATCATCTCCAGTGGAATAACCGTGCAATATTCATAAGCAGGCAGCTAGAAATACACAAATACTGACTGATTTATTATTTTGGTGGCTGTATTGCAAATCATTCACTAGTTGTGTACTGCAGTCTGCCTATTGGCAAATGAATACTATCAGTTACTCCGCAGTAGATGACGGATTTCAGTTTAAGTAATCATATCAACTTTTGAGGCGGGCCCAGAAGACTTTGTTAAAGAGGATTAACTCCAAGTTTGTGCACTGATTTCCGAGGAAATAAAAGTGCAAAGATGACTTCTATTGGCTTGTGTGTGTATGCAGAGGCTAATTAAGTGCCTTCTTTTTTTATTGTGTCTGTTGGTGACCAGAGGGTGACAAATGCGGGGCTAGACAAAGAAAATAGAATCCTGTGTTTCCATCCCAACTTTCGGAGTCCTTTGTGTAACCACACAGGGCGCTGGTACGTGCGTGTGATGACGAGATATGCTATTTTAGGCTGAATTATAGGAACGAAAATAGTAAGAGGGAATGATGAGATAGTTCCAGGTAGAAGAAAGAAGAGACGAAATATCTTGCGAGAGAAAAAAGGATGAAAAAGGAGGTCCTGAAGCAGGAGCTGAAAGGAAGGAAAGGGGTGGGGAAGAATGCAAGCGGACAGCATAACATTCATAGACGTGACGGCTCTATCGTCATCACCGAATATGTTCACTGTGTACTTCACAGCAAGATGAGCGCAGGGATGATTACTCGCGCGTGAGCTAT